AGTGGAGTTTCCTTGAAAGTTGCAAAGTTCATGACCAGTAATTGAAACTAGGGAAAGGTATAATTCAGAAGTTGATGAGAATGCAGTATTTTAATGTAATACCATGCATTCAAGCAAATTTGGTTTTCAAAATCTTGAATATCAATGGTATTTGAAAGTTGGATATAAGCAAAGCAAGAAAGGTTAAATGAAACTTTTTAAATGATGAAGTGTTAAGTTTTTAGAGTGAATGTGTGAACTTTTCTATGTTTTATTATTGCTCAGTAAGAGGTACCTGGTGTAAAGAAAACTCTTTATCACCATTAATTTTTTTTTTTTTTTTAATTTATTTTCAAAATGTTTATGAGTGTGATTGGGTCTGAATTTATCAAGTTCAGAATGTTGTGTGTTACCAACAACTAATTGTTGTCAAAAGCAAATAATTATTTTTCCAGAACATAAGAAGAATAGAGTAGATTCATGGTTATCCATTGTTTACATTACACTGAATTGGTAAATTATAATAAATATAATTTATAATGCATGGTACCTTGCCTACTACTTTTTTAGCCCAAATTTTTCTTTTAGTATCTAAATTTTTAGTGTGGAAAATTTTAAAAAATGTAAACAGGAAAGCTTTTCCTTTCATGAGTAAACAGAATAAATATGTTGATTGATAAAAAATATATGTATTGTATATACCCAAATATATGACAAGATTTTTCCCAAATATCTTGTACAGTTTTATTTTACATTCGCAGAATAAGCCCAGTCCCATTGGATGTATGTTTTTAATTTGTCATTCCATGCCAAGAAGAGACACTAATGCTTTCAAAACAAGTTGCAAATGTGATTAATATCACACATATGTATAGTAGTGTGTTAGTCATGTTAGACAAATGTAGTGAAAAAATTCTAGAGTTAAAAAACTTTACACGATTGTTCATTGGTACATACTGCACTTCAAAAATTTTGAAGTGTGGGGGATGTTTAATGGTGGGTTTTCTGTTTTTTGCACATTCTTTCATGACCATCAATCCTCCAGAATATTACGCTGTATACAAAATTAAAGTAGACAAAATTCCCTATAAGGTTTTGTTGTAAAATTAGCCCTTTTAAAGCTACTGGTTGTAGAGTTCTTATTTTTATTTACAATTTTTTTCTTTTTTCCTGATACCTCCCTTATCAAAATGATGTTAGGGTATGTTCAATCCACTAGCATATATTTTTGTTCATTTATCAACAATAAGCGTTTGCATATTTTGCACGAAAAACATTAACATTTTACATCTTATCAAATCTTGTGCCAATATTTCCAAGTATACAGGTTTTTGCATTCAAGATTACCTTGGATACAAAAAGAGATAGTCCTTAGTTTATTTGATAAGAATCGACTACAAATATGCTGCTCACCATTGGATTACTATGGATTTCAACAGCGTAGAGCAGGCATGTCAAGTTCGCACTTCTTGTAATGGTAAGCATTTGTGCTTCGCTTTCACTGTAGTAGTAATAATAATAATAATAATAATAATAATAATAATAAAGTTTGTCACTTAAGTACAGTATAAGCTGTGTATGACAATAAGGATATGTACATATCCTGATCAAGCTAGAAATCCAGTGGACCTGTCACGATTATTCTTCAGCACTTTAAAAACCAAGTCTTTAGGGCTTTCGGCAAGTTGTCAAACACAACGTGTTCCTGCTCTAGTAACGCACTTCAGCTATCAGGTGTCGCATATAGACTTTTTTGACGATACGACGTGCATCCAAGGTGGAAAGGTACCATCAAAGTTAAACAAAAACAACCAAAAACTCCACCAGCCACATATCACATCTACCGAGTCCCTTAAGAAAATAGATTTCAGTCAGATATCGCTTCTGTACAAAAATTCTTTATCGGAGACCCGTCCTCTTACTACTTCCGAGACTCGCATTGAGCGATCCTCCAGCCCATCTCGCTCGCCTGTGGCAAAAAGAAAAACGGGAAATTCCTCCAACACAGGCGACCATATCCAGCTGCTCAGGATGACTGCTTGTTCACAAGGAGCACCGCGAGAGTTTCTCTACAACTTTTCAGAAGGTGAGGGAGAAAGAAAAGCCAAAGAAGTAATTCCCTACAATGGCTCTGTCATGGAATCTAAACGGCTTTCGTTCACATTCAGAAGAATTAAGACTGATAATTTCTCGCTTTAGACCATCTATAGTTTTCCTTCAGAAAACTCATCTTCCCCATTATCACATGTCTGCGGGTTTAACATCGATCAGTTTGATCAAGGTGACGGACTCCGTGCTCACGGTGGTGTCGCGGTACTTACAGGGTGTAAGATATATTTCTTACACCGTCGTACTTATCCGTGACTCCCTGTTCCGTGAGGAATAAAACATTCGAACCGACTTTCAAACCCTATGCGTTCGGATACACCTACCGTCCTTTTCTCTAACGATATGCAATATACACATTCCTCCTGGCCAAGTCGTGTCACAACAAGAACTTGAAGATGTGTTTCAATTGCTCGCCCCTTTTCTTATTGTGGGAGACTTTAATGACCACAATACCGCCTGGGGTGGCACAAAGACCTGCTCGAGAAGCAATATACTTGAAAATATTATTGACAACCAGAACAAAATTCTTCTGAATATCTGGCGAAATCACACATTTTCCGTGGCTTCAAACACGCTCTCGTCCCTCGATCTTTGAGTGGGCTCTCCTTGGCAATCTGCATAGCAGTGAACATTTCCCCATTCTGGTCAATTTCGATATTCCCGGCCTAAACGTTGCCCGTCCTCCTCACTGACTAGTCCACCGAGGGGAGTGATGAACATTCCAGAAAGACATACGGGTATCTCTGACCGAACGTTATCGATGCCATGGTTGCCCATTTTAATGATGCCGTTCTTCATGCGACCTTAATTACCCTCCCGAAGACGTCGGGTCGCCCACGACATCCTCCCGTGCCATGATGGAATGCCGACTGTATGCCACAGCGGTTCATGATCGGAAACGGGCAGTAGAAAGGCTTAGTAGGTTCTCGGCCATGGATAATGTGATACATCATAAAAGATCCCGAGTCAGAGCAAGATTGACCATACGGGAAAGTAAGGTTGCGTCTTGGAGAGCTTATGTTTTATCACTATCTTGCCGTACCCCCCTAAATTAGTGTGGCGAAAGGTTCGACATATCGGTGAAAGACTTCCTTGGCCGTCTGTCTCAGGGCTTCTGGTAAATGGAAATCTCACCTCAGCTGAAGATATAATTGAAGAATATGCCTCTCAATAGGAGCAAATCTCCAACTCCTGTCTTTTTAAACATCAAAAGAAGAATCGAGGACTGTAGATGAAATTTCTTGAGTCGCGTGGAGGGAGATTACAATGCTCTTTTTTCCATATATGAATTTTCCCGGGGCTCGCTTGCTCGTTTCTACTCCAGAACCCTTCGCCACACGATTCCAATTCCACCCCTGCCGCTACAAAGTTCCTCAGCTCCTCTGGAGTCGCCAGAAGTCGGCGCGGCACCGGGGCTGCCAATTTCATTTTCCTCCCTGCTTCTATGTCGGTGATAAGAACCATGGGGCGTTTCAAGGGATTCAGTTGCTTCGCCCAACGTGACTTCGTGAGTGTAAAGTGTTTGGCGGGAGATTATCGCCGTTCGTTGAGTTGGTTTGTGCTATTCGTTGTGAGTGATAAGTCGTGTTGCAAGTAATTTGTTTGCGATCTGTGTTAACAACCACACGATCCTTCTAAATGCTACCTCTTTGGAGCGCAGTCAAAACACACGCGTTTTTCTACGCAAGGTTAAATTCCAGTTTCGGCACGACTAATCGTGTATTCTTTTCTCAATGAAGGAGGGAAAATACCCGTTTATGACATAGAAAAGTTCTTACATACTGTGCTAATCGAATATCAGACACATAACTAAGGAGAGTGTGGCCCTGCTCGAAAGCGGTCGTACCTACCATTTCAAGCCAGTAGAACTTACGTAATTTGTAAATCTTTTTGTGGGTAATGTGAGTTATAAAAATGACGTTAGTGAAGGACGGAGAGAAGAGGGACAAGCGATTCTCGATTGTTGCTCTCGGTGGCAAGTTTGTCGTTGCCATTGAGGTTTATTATATGCAGCGCTTCCTACACCAAGGATCACGAGAGACCACTGTTCTCTACAAGCTTTTGCAGAAACTCGATATTTAATTCCACATCCCTGTGAAACGCTCCGAAATCTTGTCCCCCCTGGAAGATTCTCCGGCCTAAAATAAACCTGAGATTATCAAACTTCCTCAAATCTTCGACTCCGGCCAGTAGATTTCCCGCGGAATTTCAGGAGACGAAATCCATGTATCCTGGCTATAACTTTATATACCCTGATGATTCCTTCCAAAATGGTAAAGTAGGATGCGTCTTCTACTGCACGCGAAGTCTTCGAATAGAATGTGCAGCGTTATACTGCAGAAAAATATGCTCTCTTGGAGGCACTTGAGTTCGGTGAATCGATGACATTAAATGAAGTAGTGATTTGCAGTGATCCAAAATACTTGCTCCAATCTATCTCCTACTTCTCTTCTTGTGACCCTCTGACATTGATCATCCAACACCAAATCCATTTATAGGTGCGTCATTATAATTTGATTCTTTGTCGGATTCTTGGCCACGTTGGGAAAATACGGAACAAAATTGCTGACCAGACAGCAAAGCTCGCCACGAAGAAAACTGAGGTAAACATCATAGTCAAATAATACCATGCTGTTTATAAAACGCTCTATTCTCAGTGCGTGGCAGAACTCAAATTTTAAATTAACGAGAATCAAGGATTCCATAAAGCCTTGCCCTTCTCTCCTTCCAGCTTTGACCGTAGGGAGTCACTATATTTAAATTGGACAAAAAGAAAAAGAAATTGTCTAGCTAGATGCCGGCCGGGCAATATAAAAAAAAAAGTCCACTCCGTGTGCCAGCACTGAATATGAATCATATCATACTCCCTGGGTGAATTTTTATGTGTTGCTATTCTATTTACTAGGAAGAATTTCTTGGTTTGGTGTGAGAATACATAATGTAATTACAGTGTCTGAAAATATGCACTTATAAAAAATAATATTTAATGTAGTGTTAAACGAAAGTAAATTAGCGTTTTGAAATTTCGTGTCGCGAGGTAAATGAAATTGCAGCTATGATCGACTCCACGAGTTTGCATTGGTTTGCATCTTTGGCCGCAAAAGGATGGTGTACAATCAACAGTTGGGGCCCCTCCGGATGCCATCACTAGTGTAATAAGATATTCTTATAACGCGCTGCTAGCGCGGTTTTTTGGGTTTGATATTTACTTCATAATGAATGTGTCAGAATTGAAGGGGACATCTGTCACGTCCAGAAATGGAGTAAGTAATTGTTGATTAGAAAGCTCAGCTGGCGAAACAAGATTAGATCGCAAGCGTATAATAATTATTTTAAAGGTTTTACTATTTAGTTTTATCGCCTGTGCGTACATCGATAAGAAAGTTGCTTAGCAACGAGATGCGCTGATTTTTAATGACAAAACGCTTGTTTCAACAACAATAAATAAGCCTGCGAGTTTTGGCTGTAGGTGATTTCAGTGAATGTCAACGAAAAGTCTAGGAGGACCTTTTACCATCAGTAAAAAATAAATGACCGAGGACAAGGGAATAAACTTCTTGGTACGATTGCGAAGGAACATGAGTGAATACTGGCAATGTAAAAATAATCGACGTAAACAAATCGGTATCAACTTGATTGAGATGACTCAACGGTATGTGTCAACTTACACCTGTCAAGGACTGTGTTATGTTTAATCACCTGTCTACTGTGTTATGATTAATAGGCGTATTTACGCTTATTGGTACCGAATTTGGATTACACTTTGTTACACTGCATTGTAATACGCAAATATGAATCAATGCTAATGCAAAATAAAATTTTAATCATGCTGTTTCCGTGGAAGTGAACTTCCAAATGAAATTGCTCATAAAGAGAAAGTCTTGCGAGTTTTATAATTATTAAGATTTACCCTGGGTTGAAATTTCCATTATGGTGTTGCTTTTACTTCCTTTTTTAAAAATGTATTTACAGTTACAATGTTTATGATAAAGTATTTATTACATGTCTAAAATAGTTGGATATTGATGTGGATTCTTAATATTTCCTTTCAATTTGTGGCAAATATGTGATCGAAGACTTACAAAAATTAGTGGATTTATTATTATCGATTTTTTATATTCATATAAGGACCGTATTCATTTGTAATTTTTTAGAGTTTTTTTCTCATTATTTGTTGAGATTTTTGTGCAGGGAATAGAAACAACCATTTTATTAAAGAATGAGATGTTGAAGTAATTGTGCAATCTACCTTCATATTGCCAGAACTTAGTGTTAACACTTGTTAAGACCATTAAAACATAGTTTTGGGAGTTTCTCTTATACCTTATCTAAAACTATAAAACCACTTCATTTTCAATATTGAAAAACAAGAATTTGAATAGGATAAATAATATTCTCTGATCTTGTAGAAAACATATACATTTCATATAAATTTAAAATATTTGCATTCTTTAGTATGACTGTTTCTCATTTCTTTGCCTCATACTAGATTCAAAACATCATATTCACTGAAGATGGCACACAAAAAGCTTAAGATCTTCAATCACACTCCAAGGGCTTAAAGTGTGAGTAGTAAAGAGGGATTAATGTCTATTCCCTTTGTGTTTTAGATGATTGAAAGATTTCTTTGTACAGAAGTCTTATTGATCCTGGTGTAACACCATGGGCTATTTTATAAAATATCTTTCACAAGCAATTCACTAAATACTCCATTTAAGTTGACAATAATAAAATGCATAAAATACAATTGAACAACATGAGAAGTGCAAATATTTGTGAATTCTAAACCTACCGCCCAATTGTATGCGACTTCACCAGTGTACAGAAATAATTAAATATGCAATAATCTATCAAAATAAAATGAACAAATACATATTAGCAATAATAACTCAATATACTCTTATAACTGTCACAACAAAACTCGTTAATATTTAGGGGAGATGGGAATCTTTGAACATTTTTAAAACACCTATGTTTATTCTTTACACTAATCAAATTGAAAACTCATTATGTAACTTAAAGTTATCTTAGAAGAAATACTTAACATTTTCAACTTATTTCATTTCGTTATTTTTTTTAATTCTGATTTTGTTTTGTCTTATCTTTAAAATTAAAATTTCCAGGAGAATTATGAAGATTGGGTAGAATCTACAGAAAATGAGCCATGGGAGGTAAATTGCATGTTGTTTGTTGTGAAATAATTAAAAAAAAATGTATTAATGCTTCGTAGTAGGTCTATACATAAAATTATTGTGTGTTATTTAAGTCTTTCTCATAATATAACATATAATATGAACGTTTCTCTCTCTTTCAAATTTTGAAGAAAGGTTGAAAATTCTTAGTAGTTCCTTAATGTACATTACTTCATAACTGTGTGACTGTTTATATTTATATTTATTGTATTATGTGGATAGAAATAGGAACATTCTTGCTTTTGTATTTTTGTTTGTTTGAATCACTGGTGTAATTGAGAATACACAGCTTATTCAATGGACCCTTTAATAATATAAATATGAAGCCTCGACCACCAAATCTGCTTCCTTTGCTTAAAAAAGGAAAGAAATGTTTTGCAGCAGTATTCATTGCAACATATTTAAGGTTTGTTTACTTGTGGAAAAAAATGATAGGTGACAGTCAAATAAATGTTTCAGTAGGACTAGTTACTATTTTTACACAGTGTTCCGTCAGTGATGTGTTTCTTCACATTTGAATTGCATCACAAAACTGATGGAACACAATTGTAAGAGATAGTACAGATGTCTCTAATTATTGTGAATCAAGAGACTTGAACATGTTTAGTTCAGAGTCTATCAGAGGTTCATTGTATATGATAATTCCTAAATATAAACCAGTTTTTGATCTATGATTGGTTTTATTGTTTTAGATATAAAGTTAAATGTCCAATCCCCATGAGTTCAAAATGTTCTTTGCCTTATTTACATTGTTTTGATTTACTGCATTTTACCCAACCTTCTACACCTCTTTGATTTGTAGACCTAGCTAGATACGTTTTCATTAGTTTTTAACATGTCCGGATTCATAGTGTTTTGTGAATTCATTTCAACAGTGTCATGGTTCCTTCTATCCCTTTCATTTACCTTAAGTGTTACAGAAACAACTTGTGTGACTACCTGCAAACCAGTATCAGCACAGGAACTTACTGTACTGATGCAAATTTGCCCCCCCCCCCCTCCTCGAAATTGTATTTACTGTGTTAATTAGAACTGATGTTCAGGATAGTTAGAACTGAGCCTTCTAGTGCTTATTTGTTATATTTATAGATCAGCAAAGGTCACTATATCCAGTATCGACTGTACTACACTTTTCTTAGTTTTCTCTAATGTAGGTGAATAGGCTTTCATCATTTTTCCAGTTGGTTATTCAATTGAAGGAAATTTCTTATATCTTACGTGTTTGGCACTTGCCGAAAGGTAATGTTCTAACAGATCATGCCAGTTGTAGGGAATAACTTGGTGAAATATCTCAAAAGGTAGAATTTTGGTCTTGTTGGTTTCTTGTAAGAAACCCCTCTATATTAAATAATATCATACTCTATATATTTTTTTCTTTAGACCTCAAAATTTTGGAGATATTCTCCCCTTTTTTCCCCTTTGGGAGGCAAATTTGTGAATGGTAGGTCCAGTTGGCCTGTTAGTTCTGCTAATGACTTAAACCATTTTTACTCCAATTTCAGTAAATCATTCTAATGTCCTCATAATTTATTTTGGGCAGGAGGAGGTCAACCCATTAGGATTATTGGATTTGGTGTATGTTGAAGATGAAGAGGCAAATGATGTGCTTTTAATTGTATGTATGACTAATTATTTTGTAGTGCAGTATATTCCTTATTGGCTGTGGAGCCTTTCTAAAGATAATTTAAAAATCATATCTTGAATTCTTAATGTTCTTCTTTCATTTACCTTCATCTTCTGTTATTGGCATTTTTCTATTCTGTAATAGGTTTGAAAATCAATGGAATCGTTTGTATTTATGAGTGCCTCCTTGCTCTCAATGGAGCAAGTGCTCAGAATACATTATTCTGGGAAAATCAGTCTTAGATTTTGTGTTTTCTTATTTTATACAAAAATAGAATTTATTATTATTTTCCAAATTTCTCTTTTTTTTTAATGCAATCTAGTTAAGAATTAAATTTTCATATCTCCCACCACTTACTGTCTGCATTACATTTTTTCATGCAATTTTATATTTATTTTGAAACCTTCACAGATTTTTTTGGTAACTGGTATTATGCATTCTGTTTCTTTGCTAGTTCAATATTAAGAATTCACTACATTAAGTTCATTAGAAAATGTCCTCTACTGTGCAACGTTTTTTCTCCCTCAAAATTTTCAGTTTAAGCTTTTACTCTTGCACCATCCATAGCTATTTATAGGAAATAGAAATGGAAAGTATAGTCTTACATTTCAAAAATGCTAGGACAGTGGTACCCTTGGGAAAAGGGTACCACTGTTGTTTCATTAGCTTTCACATTACAATTGCAGAAACCAAATGACATGCCTTTCTGTGTTCTCTGCTTGAAAACCTTTCCTCAATTGAAATTTTAATTGTACAATATTTATTTTACAATCAAATCAAAATTTAATATCTGATTTTATTACATGACCCATATGTTGTTTTATGCAATACTATGGTGTAATAGGATTCTATGAAACTTGCATGGGGAATAGCTTTCTTAGTATGGTTTAATAAATCTAAATGATTTAGAAACATACTATAGGTAATGTATGTTATATGGTGTGTGTATAGTAATGTGTAATAGAAGTGAATTTTGCATGCATAGTAAAACCTTCAGTTAAAAGATGAAAATTAAATAGAAGTATATTTTGGTTAAAATGTTATTTTGGTTCATAGGACTCTCCAACTACTACATCAGTTTCTGCAAAGACAAATGTGGAAGACCAGAAGTCCACAAGTGATAATTTTGCTGATTCAGATGAGGTAAATCAGTTGGAGCAACAGTACTTATTAATATTTAGAATGCAGTGAAAGCAGATCCTAAAGCTGCAGTAAGTTTATTAAATAAAATCCTTACATATCATGGGGAGAGCTATGAAGAGTACAGGAGTTTGTGCTTTTAATGAATTGAATGTAATTTATAAAATTAAGCTTATTAAATGAAATCCTTACATTCGTGGGTTGAGGTTACGAAGAGTTCAAGAATTTGTGCTTTCAATTAATTAAATGTAAATTATATAATTTTTGGGATGTGCAAAAAATCACACTCATATTTTACAAGATAATTTCTTTTTTTGGTGGTTCTCATTGAATTTTTAGTATTAATTTTTAGTGAATGGAAAATATTTAAGAAATGAAAAGAATCCTTCCCCTAAACAAACATTAAAAAATAATCCACCTTTGTCGTACAAGGTCTGTTGTGTTGTGTTGAAACTGCTTTGATTTTCTTTTCCATGTGTGTTTTATAGGCAAAATTTTAGCTGCCGAAACAAACTAACCTTAAAAAAATAAATGACAATTTTCCACATAAATGACTCTATGTATTCTCATGAAAAACTTGAGATCAAGTGAGCATGCTTTTCCCACTCTTTGCCTCTACAGGCATAGGCTGAAGAGGCTGAATATTGATATTGTAGAGTTGGGGGTGTTGATTTTACATCCATTACACAAGAGAATATTTCTAACATTTGTTACATCAATTTGATTGTTTATAAGAAACATTTACCTTCTTTTCATGGCATAGATAATTCATAACAAATGGAGGACTTCCCAGTATTTATTGATGGTTTTTATTTTTGTGTGAACGATGAGCATTTCTTCTGAGTGGTTCAATTCCTCTTTCAATGCACCAATCAAAATAATTCCAATAATAGGTTTTTTAGACTAACTTCCAGTTTGTTTCAGCAGCTAAAATTTTGCCCATGAACCACATGTTCCCTTACTACCACTGCAAAAAATCAGGGGTGGTCTTGACAAGATTCAACAGACCATTTTCTTAAATGCTGAGATAAAGGCAAATTGAACTTGCTAGTATAAGTTTTTATGATTTGTTAAGATGAAAACTAAATATAAATTTTGAAAAATGATTAACTTATAATTTTATCATAATCTGTATAGGTGCAGTTTTACCAACAACAATGCTCTTTTATTAATGTTTAAATTTTGGGCATATATAATATTATTATTAGCAATATATTAGGTGTATTGAGACTCAGAAATACAATTTTAGGCAGGATGTTCTGACCAAGATCTTTGGACATACAGCCATTCTCATTTGAAGTTCTTTTAATAATTGCTAACTTTAGCTAATGTGTAGTTTTAGTGATGTCACTGTGAAGGGGGTCGGACCTAGGTATTTTTATCTCGATTTTCGCAAAGAAAAAAAAAATTAATGAAGTAAATAATCTCAATCTTAGATATCAATGATACTGTATATAGAACCTATGTTTGCTCTTATGAATAAATCAAGCTATTCAGGAGTAAAAAATCAGGAGATAGTCTCAAAATTCTGGGGTAAAGTGATTATTTCATTGTTTTAATTTTCTGAAGGAATTATTAAAATAAAAAATGACAAAATACGAGTTATAGAATTCTTTGGTCAATACCTTTTACATTTTGTTTTGTAAGAAATATTGCAATTTTTGTGAATAGAATGTTTTAAGTTCAAATGAGAATCTCTTCTTAGGGAGATGAACTTGAACCTGTAGCTGCTGTAGATGTGTTGCCTGGCCGAGAAGAGGATTTCCTTCCAGAGGTATATTATTCTAAATTCTGTATAAGAGATTGTTGAAATTATATTTTAACATCATTCTTGACCCAAAATTACATTTATTGATATTGAAAAGGTGTATCAGCAGTCAATTTTTAAAGCAAGAAGCAGTACCAAAATGATCTTGTTCCAATTTGTGTTGATAAAATGAATAGTGTGCCGAATGTAAACACATCAGAGTTGTCAATGGAGATGTAGTGATGTTCTGTTTACTCTATTTTACTCGATGGCGATCGAAACGTCGGCACCTTCGACATGGCAGCGTCACCTGGACAGCCAAGTAAATACTGACTCCCGCCTACGCTCTCATTCTGTTTACTCTGATTTCCAAATGGACATATTGGTATGATGGTGCTGCATTTTAAATGAGAAATCTTGAACACATCTAAATTATATTTTTAGAATGCTTTCAAACTAATTATAAACGAAAATTAATAGTAAATTCTTACCTTCCATATTTTGTGTATTAATGTTCTAAGTACTTAACTACAATTTAGAACTAGAACTAACATACCAGTGTAACAAAAGAAACTTTTAAAACTGGTTTGAATTCATGGTATTTCTTTATTCTCGCTTTGGCATTTTCCCATTTTTCACAAATGCATACTATACCCACTTCACTTACATTTTTTTGATGTATAGAATTGCACTCACTTTTTGGTAAGCATGTGCGTAATTGATTTCGCAGTTGTTTGTCACAATTTGCACAGTTGAGGACTTCATGTCAATTGCTTATGCTATCTCGCTTCAATGATGATAGCATAGAAAGATTTGAAAAATGTTGAACTTTTGCAAATTTTGAATTTCATAGGTTTTAATTTAGGATTAACATATGCCATATTTATAAGCATGGTTTGTTCTACTCAAGCAAGAAAATTTAAAGGCAACATTTGAAGCCACCTCTTTCATTCTCTTTCTCTCACTGTCATGTTATCGCTCAGCCTGAGCCTGCTTAAGCGAGAATTAATTACACTGCAGTATAATTAATGAAAAAGTAATGGTTTTGGTCACTTTATTGGAATTTTTGTTTGTTTGCTTTTTATAACTTTTCTGGTGTGAGATCTGTGTTTTAATGCATTTGATCAAAGGCTATTTATAGCGGGAGTTATTGAAACAGACACTTGGGCATTTTTATATTCTGGTTAGTTCTGAGAAATTTGTTTCTCCATAACATCCCCGCACAAGGGGGTCTAGTGGCTTAGAGTGAAGTCGTTCGCCTTTCACAGAGGAGGTCCGGGTTCAATTACCAGGCAAGTTCATGTGAAATTTGTTCCAACAAAACGAGTCTGCCTGCTTCACCGGGGCTAGTTCAACGCCAAGTTGTATAGACATTTTTCGTTATAGTTCTCCCATTGTCTGGTGTGACAATTTTGTTAGTAGTTTATATATTAATAAAAAGAAATGTGCATACGTGTCGCACGTAGGTGCAAAAACTACTCGACCAATTACGCTGAAATTTTCCCACTTTGTTACTATTGGTAATGAGTGATTAAAGAGTGAATTAAATCAGAGTTATTGGAGCGTTGTTGATGATGATTTATTCATTGATAGTTACACAGGCGCCTGGAACTCTTATGTAACCTGTGGGAAGGCAAGGATTAAGCGCATCTTCACTGCATACTAGTATTCTGCCCTGTGATTGAGAAGTATTGATTGGAATTATTACTTGAATCTTGGATAATGTCATAACAAACGCATGTCCAAATTTGAGGGAGAACGTTTTTGCAGTAGGATGTCTGACAACTATGTCCAAACCATGACCTAGAACAGAGGTGTCCAACTTGCAGGGTCTCAAGGGCCACAAACCCTTTAATGTGGTTGAGGGCCATATTTTCACTGCTCAGACAACCCACACGTGACCCCATATTGTTGATTTAGCAGTTTGCCTTACTGCTCTGAAACGGAACTGGTGGGGAATGGAACTGTGCACGATATCAGTACCTACCATTCATAAAGCAGTGAATTTCATTGAGATAATTTTGAATTTCTAAATTTACTAGAAAAAAAATCCTCAAATCAAAACTTCACTTCTTTTTACATTAAGGGAGTGTTGATCACGACAGGGCGCGTACGCTAGAAGCAATATTCTCATCCGACATGGATGCAAGGATTATCACAATTGTCTAATAACGTTTCGCGGGTCACAACAAATGGCCGGCCGCATGCGGTCCGCGATCCGCCAGTGGGATAGCCTGTCCTAGAACAAAGTCTTACTTGCGAGAAAGTCTATTAAAAGTTTTCCACAGCATAGTGTAAAAAGTGATTAACAATCACGTGACAAGCAGTCTTTGTCGAAGGTGGTGCATCTTCGTGTGGACGACCTGGATCTGTATCCTCTACTCTCCTGGATTTTCATTCTTCTAATTTCGGATTGGCCAGCTGCCTCTCGTTCCCCAGAGGGCTGGGGGTGGGTAGGACATGATCAGTAGTGTGTGTGTGATGTAATACACTGCAATAGAGAAGCATTGCCGGGTTCACTGGTTAGAAATAGTTACAGTTTATGGATAAAGTATATTTTAAAACGCCAGGTCACCAGAAATCTCTTTTAGTTATTCTTTTCCTTTTTTTCTTTTTCTTCTTCATCATAATTTTGTTAATGGACAAGAATAAACAATATTAATGCACAAAATATAAAAGGATGAAAATCTCATGAAATGGTATCAAATTATGAGTCATAGAATTGTGGAATGTATACATTCTTATGTGCAGGGCATGACACAAGAGTTTGTGGAACCTAGTAGAAACACCTGGACAACATGCTGGTAAGTACTTGAGGTGATTTGACACAAAGAAAAGCATTTGGAGCAAAGAAATTCTTCACTGTACCTTGCTGCATATTCATGTAGCATGTTTCTAGAAAATGATGTTTTTGAATTATTGCATATTGTGAGATTTACTTGAGAATTCATGGAAGGAGATATTTCCAAAATATGTTTGGTACTCTTATGAAAGAGACATTAGGTATTCCAATTTGTTTGGAACATTAACTCCCTGAACTACCATTAATTAGTCTTTTGTACTTTTTCTTTCCTGTTTATTTGTGATTGATACATGGTGATTTTATATTCTGATGTAGAAGCTTTGCTGCATATTATTTTAGCTTTCTTTGATTGCTGTCTTCCATTATGTTGCTTTAGTTGTTGTAGTTTGAATTTACTCCTATAAAATTGTAAGATGCTTTGTTTATAAAGTTTTCCTTTGGGAGATAGTACAAATTAAAAGGCTTTCTATGTTAAATTAAAAACCAAAGACTTCAATACTGCGAAATTGACCTACATTGGATAGTGTTCTGATTGATCCTTAATGTGAAAGAGAAATCAGTCTTTCTGTAATGGAAATGTGAAAGTTAAAGTGAAATAACATAAATTTTGTAACTTAACTTCTCAAATAAAGTAGCATAGTTTATGCCATAAGAATGCATTTGAGGTGTAAAGCTAATTGTTCTGAATTTCATGTTCTTGTTGGTAAATTTGCTTTTTAACACAATGCTTTTGAACTAAAACTTGAATGTATAAGAAATTATTCAGCATGCATATGAGCTTGATTATATTAAAATCATACCATATTATTGTGGGATCTTTTAGCTAAAACCATTGCAAATTGCAAGATTATTGTGGTAACTGCTTATTAACCGAGGTAAGAATGTTGTTTTCAAGTCTTTTTTTTTATTCAGTGTGATAGTGCTCCTTGATGTTATTGCAATAAGTTACTCTAGATTATTGATTATATAATGCTTAAGTTGTGATTATATTGTAATAATCATTATTTTTTTTATTAAAATGTGTTTTTTTTCATGAGATATCGTTATTTTAACATCAAAGTAGTGTCAGGGATTTAGCAAATTGTAATACACTGAAGTTATTCAAATAGGAGGAAAAACCTTATGTTAGAACATTTTTTGATAAATGCTCAAATACACATTTACTAAAGTAAATGTACCAGTACATTGCAACTTCACAGGCATGACCAAGTGTTGTGCTTATATGTAGGTGTTTTGCAGGTTTGTTTTTGTTGGTCTGCAACTGTGGTAATCTTAAATGTTTCATCAAATCTTAAGGAAATAATTTCTGTAAATAATGTAGGATTTGATATTAAAGAATCGCAATGAACCAATAATGAATTTCAGATTTCAACAAGGAATACATTTGCAGATTTGTGAAATGTACATACGGAATAAAAGTGAATTTTAGTTCAGAAAAATTTGTAAATTTGTATTGTATTATGACTGAACAACAATTTTTAACTTGAAAAGCTAATTCACTTCATATTGTTTTTTTTTTTTAATAATTAAAAAGGTTAAGTAATTCTTCACATGTGAGAATGGTAGTTGTTCTTCAAAATAAAATTAGGGAACCAAAATAGGAAAAGTCACAACTCAAGAAATTCAAATTCAAAGGTAAAAAGATGATAGGTAATGTAAACAAATTTAATGTTAATACAAAATCTAATTTTCTTTGAAAAACATTACAACTTTTGCTGAGAATTTCTAATAAATTGAACTAAATAGCAAATTAAATCATAAAGAGTAGAGAGTGTGTAATTTAGATTTAGAAATAAATTTTTTATCACTGATTAATTTCTTAATGGTTGATAATTTTATTTTGAATTTGACAAGTAACAAAGTAATTTAGTTAATTTCATAGAATCAGTATACTAGTATTTCAATGAAACATTCTTGCTAAAGGGAACAATTTAGTATTCTATTAGTCTTGATGTACTGCCAAAGAGTCTAAATTCCATTTTCTTACAGGTATAGGTAGAGAAGTTTTTCAAATACTCAGAAACTTTGTTACATGAATGCATTTTCTGCAGTTTGTTCTTAATGCTTTGTGTTTGCGAGTTGGAGAGTTTTATCACACTGTGACTCAGGGTCAACTTGAATGTTTTTACTTTTCTTGTGAAATGTCTTGCATGCTTTCGTCTTTTGTAAAGAAACATTTTGCCTACTACAAAAGTATTTTCCATTATTTTATAAAATTTCTCTGAAAATAAAAGAAAAAAAAAACAAAAAAACATGCTACCTGGAACTATCTCATTATTTCAAAAGCAATATCATGTTGAATAAATGAAGGCATTAAAATGTAATGGTGATGACAATTTTCTGAAATATATTGGTTTATATGTACATAGATATTTGGTGCCCTGAGTTAGCTCAGAGTGGCAACTGTTACTTGTAGAGTTAGCATTGCCACTGTTTTTGCAGTGAATAACCGAGAGGTCCTAGGGTTGAAGTCTCAATGGTGGTATATTTTTGACACTAGCTAGCTAGATAGTTAGTTTGAATTCGGTTGTTCTCTGGAGGAGAATTGTACTGGATGGTTGTTCTGATCTACACCAGGTGAATGACAGAGCAGGAATTTAACAAATGGACCACAGACTGCACACGGTCTTTCCTTTGTTTCCTGTGTCCTAAACTCTCCTCCTTTGTGATACACTTACCGTTACATGCACTACCCACTTGTTGGAGCTTAGAACTTGTCCTTGCTGGGGTGATGCTGCTCTCTAGTGAAAGATACCTAGTGAGAGAACTGCCTCCCAAGCCATTGTGCAGGTTAGTGCTCCCCTTCTGGCAGGCGAGGAACAATGCCACACTTCCCAGGATAAAACATCCACTGCACTAACAGATGAAATGACATTTGCCGCTGATTTCCTCAGAAACAGCAAGCAAGCAAGCTAGAAAGCAAGCAAGATCTGTTCCCACCATTGCAACTCTTTTGACAGGGAGGTCGTAGTATTCTTGGAGGATTTTTCCACAACAGTGAAAAATAGATACGTCAAATACTGTCTGGGGGGAGAATTCTAATGGGCAACCTCTGATCAGTTGTTTCCTGTGATTGCTCTGTTCATTACCAGACAAATGCCAGAGTACTGCCATTGATAGCATACTGTTGCAGTATGCTAAAGAATCGACCACGGACAATGTATTATTCTGTCCTTCCTCGCCACTCCCCTTACACACACAATTTCACCCACATGCCCTACATATCATATATACATGTCACATATGCTGAGAGACCAGTAAGGGAGAGTTTTTTCCTGTCTAGGGTAATGCCCTGTTGGGAGATACCTGGAGAGGGAAACATTGAAAATTGACATGTGGGTAGGTGTCAGATTCCAAGTTCTATCGTAGGAGGAACACCACCTCCTCCTGGGATATAACATGCACAACATCTAAGGGACAAAAGACTATACCAGTTAATGAACCTGGAAACACTTATCAAGTAATCAATATGTATAGAAATCATGAATGGAATTAATTGCCTTAATAGAAGAAATGGTGCAGCTTGTAGTTTTTCTTTCTAGTAAATAAATAGTAGTACAAAGCATTTATCTGAGATTTTTTATTTCCAAAGTGAGCTACAGGCCTTCTGTGTCACTGAGACTTCAATCTCCTCATTTATTCATTTCGTAATTCATTGGGATAAAAAGCGTACTTGCAGATCAGAGGATCCTTAATATTTTCCTCATTCATTTATGCATCAAAAGAAAATTATGAGTTAAGAGAAAGTAACAAATTGAATAATAATTTTACTTTGTTCATATACTAGTAGATTGATGATAGGTTTGTCAAATTTTTTATGGCTAATTCACAAGAATCACAAAATATGATTGTGGTAAAACAACTCTTAGGTTTAAGTGATTTGATCATTTAATGTAATTATAAACTAAAATATTAAAATTCCATAATCAAAAAATTCTCAATAGGATAACTTTAAAAAAGGAGGTAAAGGACAATTATCTTTCAGGTTTTTCAAAATGATCTTCAATCGATATTTTTTGTCTGTTTCAAGATAATACACAATGGATTAAGATTTTTGATCAAGAATGGTGTAGATTCTATATGGATAACATAATTAGCAATAAAAAATAACATTTATAGTTGTAATTAAATTAGTGACAAGTTACCAATTTTAGGGTATTTAAAGCACAGTATGAACTAAAATAATTTTACATTATACTTTGGTTAGATGTCACTATAATTGCTGATATGCCATCTCTAGTATTTCTTGGGTAATGAAAGTAAAGGGTAGGTGCAACTAGGAAAAATGTAAGTATTAACACATTCCATGTTATATTTGCCAAAAAGGTATCTTCAGTTTTTGAAATGTTGCACCAGCTCTGAGGAGGAGGGGTGCAGGAATACTGATATTGGAAACATTGGTACATTTTAGTTTTGAAGGAAATATATAAATTTTGTGAATTTTTTTTTTTGAAAGTTTCTAGACTTTAATAAAACAGACTGTGTGATTTTATGACAATTTATTTTATGTTATATATTTTAAACTGAATGTTGAAAAATGTTTTAAAGTCAAATTTATGAATAGTTCATGGCTTGCAGATATTTATTTAGTTTTGGTGAAGATATAGTGTGTGTATGTAGGTAACTAGAACTTTTCTTTGTAGTTCTTAATTTGAATTCCACTTTCCAATTGAGAATTTAGGTACATTAACACAAGTTAGGTAAATGTTGCGTCTGGAAGTTTACCAATCTGTAAGGTGGGGAACTGCCCCTAAAAATTATTATTTTTATTAAACTGGTAATTTTAGCTCCTTTAAAAACGGATGAACAAAAATATTTTATTATGTTTAATGAGTTATTAAAGTAGTACATGTGCCTGGTAAAATTTGAGAGGATCTTCAATGAGAAGCAGATATTGTAATGTAAATAAATATTTAAGAATGCAAAATAGATAGCAAATAATTTTAATAGTGACTGTGGCTTCTTTGGTGTAATGGTTAACATTTTGGTTTGTTATACCCAAGTTTGCAGGTTCAAACCCAATTGAAGTCTTTGTATGCCTTCCTTTGGAGGGTATGTAAAGCTTCTGACCCAGGGTTGTAGATTTACTGCATGTAAAAGATCCTCAAGCCTAAAAGAAGTCTCTGAGCTAAATTCTAGTCACTTGTTTCATTGTCAGAGTGATATCTTCTCTTGCTGCTAAATGGCGAAAAGAGTGTAGTGAAATTTGCATGGTCAGGCAGAAGAGTGGAGGGGCTTGAACATCCTTTCTCCTTTTTTGCATTGTAAATAAAATTTGACTGTGGAGAACAGCCCTGGAAACATTAAGCTAGGGGTGACTTCACCTTTATTATGATATTGATTTGAAAACGGATGAAGTGTGGACCTTTTAAATAATGAGAATAACAGAATTGAACGGTAAAGAAAATATTTTGGTAAAAAAAGTTAAAATATTTTTTTACTCATCGTAGCCATAACTAATTAAGTTTTTCTAAGTAAGATATATATAATATATTAAAAAATAATATTGAATTAATGGAGTGGATAATATTCCAATAGGGATGTTGGCACATTTTGCTGATATTCTATTTCACAAAATGCCTATAAAAATATAGACAAAATAGTCTCTACTTACTTGCCTTAAAAAACTGGCAAATTGGATCTGCCTTAGCCGCCTCTGAAATTGGGAGGGAAAAATTATATTGCAAAGGTACTGAATTTATTATTTAATTCAGAGGAATATTACTAAAATTCCCACTGTTAATGTGATGATTATCCCAAACAGGGTATCAAATGATGACCTAACTGATCACCAGCTGAGTTGGCAAGAAAGTCAGCTTGTAGGCAGCAAAAGTATTCTTCAAAGTGTTTTGGAAGTTCCTCATCAAATTTGGCCCTTACAAATTCAACCCTTGGGCTCATGTTCTACTACTCACTTGACTAGGAAACTTGCACAGAACGTAAAGATATCACAAAATCATATGTCAGAGCCAAATCAACCTCGAGCAGTGCCAAATGAAGATAGACGACAATATTATAAACAGTATCGTCAAAAGTATCCTGAACTAATACGAATTCGCAATCGTGAAAATGCTCGTCGGTACCGTCAAGCAAATGCTGAACGCGTGCGAGAACGGCAGCGAGACTATGTAAGAAGATACCGTGAACGGAAGAGAATCAAAAAGGAAAAAGCTGATTTATTGGACATGAGTGAAGAACCTGAAATTGCAATTTATGATGAGAGTGGACTTAAATCAGCATTTTTGTCACAGAAGTGTGAAAAAGAGATTATTGTACAAAACATGCCAGCTGCAATGAAGTCTAAGAACTCAGAGTCAGAACATGATCTTGAAACAATAATAAAATTATGACAATAAAGTAGGTGTGAGGATCAGTAATACTATATTTAATAATAGGCATTAATACTCTTGTAGAAAAGCCAGCCTCTTTTGATTTTCCTTATGAAGTTGAAGATCAGAGAAAAATTAAAGCAATGTAGGGGTGGATTTTGGAATTCCTGGCAATATAAAGTTGAGAGAAAGTAGATTTTGTTTTTGTTCTTTGTAGAAAGCTGAAGAATTTATTAATATGTGTGTATTAATGTGTTTAATCTTTTTTCTTTCTGAACACAAGTTACATATGATTTGGAAAAGTATTAGTTAAATCCTTTTTTGTATAGTTCATAACAATTGTTTTGAACATTCTTTTTTTAATTATTTAATATTTTCAACTTTCAACTTTTTCAATTTAGTAGAGTACAAAATCAGTTGGAATACTTGAATTGGTATTGTTATTTATTTATTTATTTATTTATTGGGTTATATAGTTTCTAATGTATTTATTTTCATCTGTTAAAAGTCAAGAGTACTAATTGAAGTAAGTTTTAAGTTTTTTACTACTTTGGTTCAGTTGTGAAAAGAAATGGAAAGAACAAAAAATTTTCTTGTTTTAGAAAGTTTTCGTAAATATTTTGGGATTGCATTTGAAATTTATATTATATAATGCTAATAAGCATTGTAAATACTGAACAATATTTTGTAGACTTTAAAAGACTATCCAAATGTACTTTTTAAGAGATGTACTTGTAGTTTTGAATCCCCACCAGAACAAGTAATGTAATCCAACTACACTTATACATACTAACCAGATTATACTATGTTTTGAAGATCTTATGTGCAGGACATTGGCAGATTGTAATGCTGAAGGATTAAAGTGGGCAAAGAAAATATAAAATAGAGAAAAAGAATTTAAATTAGAGACTATTATTGAAAGATTAATTTTGAAAGTTGTTTAAACGGATGAATACAAAATAAATAATGCACTACTAATAAACTCGTAATAGAAAATTAAAAATCATCAAAATGTGTGATTGAAAAATGTCATTTTTTCTTTTCCAGATTTTTTAAAATCAATTGTTTTTTAAATAAAAGAAATAACTTGTAATCACATCAATTGATATGGTGACTTGTGATTATAATTGCAGTAAACAATACATGTATCTTCTTTCCTACAATTGTGGGAGGGGGGAATTGCTTGTGAAATGTGGCCCAAAAATGTAATTTGTTGATTTCCCTGTGTATCCCAGGCATTCACGACACTACATGTATTTAGGAAGGGAATTTTTCACACTCGAGATTCCAGAGTGTGGGTAGGATTTTGAGAAGCTCATGATTTGTCTCCCAACTGGGTATTAATTTAACTTTTGAAAATGCTAGAAAATAATACTTTCCAAAGCACGAACTGTTCTGGGGCAAAAAAAATTCTCAATTCTATACCTCATCTCACTTTATTTACTCAAAATTCTTTTTCTATCAAAATTTTTGAAATTTTCATTTCTTATGTTTGAAAGTGCTGTTATTTGTTACATATATTTAAAATAATAAGATTTTGATTTTTTGTTGAGATTTTGCTTAAAAGTAATCTCAAATTGTCAAGGAAGAAATTAAGTAGAACAAAACAAAAATGAGACTGATTGTAAATAAAAGAATTGTAAGTAAAATTGAAGTTGTGTTTTGTATCCAGTTTTTATAAGGAGTTTGATAGAATATACTAATTTCTCTTACATCCTGCTTTTCGGCTTGTTTAAGAGAAGAAAAAAAAAAGCTCTTAGAATCTCTTCTAGGAACAAAAGTTACAGGAACCTGAAGATACTATTTTTGAGGGTGTAGTTTCTTGCCTCATAGATTCTGATCGATAACTACAATTTTTTATGGGAATGTTAGATCTGAAGCTTTTTCAGGACTAATAACTTAGTTTTACAACTTTGTGAGAGTTTTTACCTGTGTTGACATGTTCAAATATTTAAATTGTTCTACAACTGTATTTGAGCCAGAAGTAACATACCATATGACAACCTTTAGATTTGTATTTAACTGGCTTAAATTAACTGACTTTATTACTAAATCCATTGTAATAAACAGTAGGTACCGTGAAAATCAGCATTACACCATTAATCATTTAGGCATTCAGTTTGAAAATTAGTCAAAATGTTAAAAGAGTTATTGGATATTGAAGATAAGTAAAATGATTATTTCCCATCGCTTAAACACTATTTATGTGCTTAAGTTTGCTGTACCAAAATCAACAATAATGAACTAACTTGCTCATAATAATCTCTTCTAGCCACTTGTATGATGAATTTCATTTAATAATGTTTTTATTTCTCACCCATCCATTGGGTCCCACAGTTCCTACATGTGAACATCGCAAAACTCATAATCTAAGAACAATTATAATAAAGATTGAGTTAAAATGCCTTAAAAATCAACTGAAAAATGTACAAATTTTATTATGATTTAAACTTGCCACCAAAAATAACATTGTGGGTTTAAATTTTATAAACACTTATTTCTGCAGTAAATATACAAATATTTATGATATTAATGAAAGCCATTAATGTCATGAACTTCATCAGGATAATGCATTCATAATGGCTTTGTGGGATTGTTGACAGTTGGTGAGTATTAAATTTGGCAGAGGGACAAGCTTGTGTTATAAAGAAATTGAAAATTATTAGTGAGTTGAGTTTCTTTGATATTTGTGTTGCTTAGCGATTTCGATGTTCGGATAATGGTACTGTTGAAATCGATATATGCTCTTACCTGGGAGAGAGTAACGAGGGTGTGAAAGACTACCTCAACTCCTTGTACGTTTCCCTCCCAAGTGATAGGTGCTGTATCAGTGTGGGTAATCAAAGGAAGCGTATTTTCGTAGCACGATATTGTGGTCAGAAGAAAATAAATACGGTATAGAGCTAGTGTTGGAAGTTAAGAATGAAGTACATAGGTATGTGAAGTTTGTCGAGTTATCAATGGTAATATGTACACGCGACGGCCAAAGAATTTTCTGTAGAACATTCGTTTTGTCGTTCGGAGTGTTGGCGAGAGAGATAAAGGTATGTATGTAAAGTTTTTCATTAGCATGATTATTACAGATTATGTATATTTACATCACCCATAAGCACAAAATAAATGCACCATGAGTGTTGGGGGCGTGGGCACAGAGAACCCATGGTTTGTCTACCGGTGTAGGTCTGAGAATTCTTTATGGCGATTTGAAAATGCACCCTAATAATTATGGGGTGAAGTAATGGATGAACACTATACATGACGCAACACTTTTTAATAAAATATTGATTAAATTTAATAATATGATTTAGTTTTGCATCACGTAACGAAAAAGTGATAGTTACGTTTATGGATCAAAATTCCTTTTTATCTCCATGGTTACAAAACATTTTTTTAAATGTAATTAATTGTAAGGATTAGACTACTGTTCACAAACGTATTGAGCACATGCGTGATAGTCACTTTTAGAAGCATTTTGTACTAATATAGTGCAAGAAATACTCTCAAAACGAGGTATTCTAACGCTATTGCCAACTCCACAGGTTATTTATTTCGTTCTATAACTGGTAATCGAATTAGTTCACATTCCGAATACCATTTCCTAATCACATAGGAGTTAAAATATAAAATTAGATGTTTACGAATAAAACAATCTTATATTACCTAGCTAAAATGGTATGGTACGCTATGCTCTTACAATATTTTAATTCGATAGACAACTGTTTTCAAACTTCAGTCATCTATTTGGAAAGCAACGTGTCGATTGCTAAGTCAGCCAAATTGTATTATTTTTCTAAAAAATAATATATTGTAATGGCTGCCTCTGAAAAATAAAAATTTCTAGCAGAGCATTTTAAAACACATACTCTGCATAAATATTGGTAGACAACGACATCACACGATGAGGGCCTATACATTTTGTGCAGTCGACAACTTTTTTTGTCTACCAAATCGAATTTTCTTCATTTTAACCTCAGAAACTTAAAAAAAAAAATCTGCAGGCCTAGTAAGCCCTCCGCATCCAGATACAATTGTAATTAAAGATAATAGGGGAAACTCAAATGATATACTGTGGTAAAACGACGTAGGCCTACCTCTATTTTCCGCAGCAAGACCAAGATGGGTTTCAGTTGTTAAGTGGTACACACGAAATTGTGTATATACTCTCTGGTTCTCTCGTGTGAAGTTCTCTTATCACGAATACCAAACTTTCGAGGATCAGTAGTTTGTGACAATGTTCTTCTGTGATATTTTACATCTTTTCGGGCTGATTCAATACACTTCTTATAGGTCGGGCAAGTAAATACTTTCTTTCTGATTTCTTATAGCATATTTGATAACCTGCACATTAACTATTAAATCCATCCACGCTCTTATTGTAGTTCTCACTGAACGTATACATTTAATTGTAAAATGACGTATTTCTTATAATGCAATGCAATTTTACTTCTCGACGAGTATTTATGGTCTCTGAAATTGCCTTCTTTTATATTATTATCGCTATTGACACTATTATTCGACATTTCACATTTGAAATTAATATTCATTTATTTTGGTAATCTCTGCCAATTCACCCAATTGCCGTTAAAATACAGGTTTTATTAATAGAAATGATTGACATTGATATTAACTGAACCTTATATATCACAATTTCATTATTATTATTGTAACTGCTACTATTATTTTTTTGTAGAAGTCGTAGGATCTTACATGAAAGTTGACAAACTAGTCGTCAGTCTAGTCGCACAAAAAGTTTTGATTTAGTTTTGATATATCTTGGGGCGTCGAACACGAATATCCTGTTGGCCAACAAACATTTGGCCCGGAAACACGTTTTTATTAATTTTTTGAAATCGTAAAAATCACGACTTTTCTTCAGGATTTCGAAATAATTAAAAGCAATCCATTTTTCGTAAACGATGTTCCTATATGAAATGAAGATAAAATTTCCTATAAATGTAAACTTATTTAGCTCTTTTCCTCTGTTTGAGCACCGTTTGACCGGACTAGTGCTGTGTCATCTATTATTGTTCCTATTCTAAGGTGAGATCTCGTTTTTTGTAGTTTGGTACTATATTCTTATGTATGTATTTATTTATTTGACTTTTGGTTCGATTGTCTAATTTTTCCGGCTAGATAACGGCGTCCCCCATGCCTGGGTCTAGTTTAATTCCCGCGCTTGTGGGATAAGAGAGAGACAAGTGGAAAAACAACGTATTCCCTTCAACTAGTAAAATAAACTCCGCCTGCCTGAGCCTTTATTTGTCACACGGCAACAGAAACTGAGACGATTAAAAAAAACGCGGTTCTATTTTTGCCCCGTCCAGGAACCGAACGTCATACGCAGAGTTTAATTGTTTTGACGTAAATAAATACATAAAGGTTGGAGACCCCGGGTTCACATCACGTGTGCCCACAAGCCTTCGTAGAGGATACTTCATGATTCCTTTCCATATAATGTAAGTTCATTCTTGCCTTTACTATTTACTTGATTTGCTATGTTATTTTAATGAAATTGTGATTATCGTATTTGTATAATGTTAATGTACTGATGAGTACGACGGGTGCAGTAGCGTAAAGAAATGAGTGCGGGCCGACCAGCTAAACGTTTATCAAGGCCCCTTTTATAAAAGTGTATAGCAAATACAAGTAGTGTTATTACTTTAAAAATATTCTTTAACATATTCATCTGTCTATGAAACACATTAAGAAATCAGTGTTTCCAATATATTATATTAATTTAGAAACAGAGACATGCAACCAAATCGGGAAAACATGTTTTTTTTATGGAATATTTTAAATATTTTATTGTATCAACTATCGCAAAGTATCAGAGAAAGTATTAAGAAACTAATACTCTTTACAGTCGCAAAACCTCCAGCGTAAAAATAGGCCCTGTTTTCCCTGGGCCCGCTTTCTGTGCGCACTTTGCGGGCCCAAAATTTGCGCCAGTGGCGGATGTCTAAGAGTTATATTAGGAGTAGGATATTTGGTTTAAGTGAACCTTTTGAACTCGAGTAATGCAGCAAGATAGTTAACTAGATTTTTGGATGGGAGCTAAGTAATAGTTTTTATTTGACAAATGTGAAGGAAGATAGATAATTTTGTTTTGCCCTTTTGTAAGATTTACTTGGATAGACCATATTTTGGCTTAATCAGAAAACTGAGAGGCGAGTTGTAGATCTACCTGTGTTGTATTCGCCGTATTGCTTTAAAAATCAAGTTAAGCCCATAGCCAATTCTTTGGACTTCTCTTTTACGAAGCAATAGGTCGATTTAGTATAACACAGAGGTAGTAGCTTAACGAAACGAGTGCGGACCCGCCGCATAACTGTTATCCGGGCCCCCTTTATAAATGTGCATAGCAAACACAAGTAATGTTGGTACCTTAAATAATAACTAGTGGTGATTCAGAATGGCACAGACTTACCCGTATCAGCATTCTATTTCCTTTGGTCTCTGCTAGCTATTCGACCACTTGCCACATATGCCTGCTGCGATCTATTGCCGCCCAAAGTTCATTTTTTCCCATTTTTTAAAAAAAATTTCGTTTTCCCAATAGTAGAACGGAAATTGTATATTAACAATATTAAATAACAGAAAAACCTCGTCC